ACTCATGCATTAATGAAAATGTCTTGAAGATTGAATTTTCATATTACTATAACACATATTTCAAATACTTGAGAATCTGGTGTCCTAAGGATTGAACCCATCAACTCATTTGAATAACTGAAGATATTATGCACATAAGTTTTACACAATTTCTAATGTTTCAACTTGACACTATTATAGCCATGTGTCTTATCCATTCATGAGTGCATAAAAGCCTAGCCCAAACATTCTGAAGCAGCATCACTTCACACTCGCATATGCAATCTTTCTATATCATGCATCTGTTAATGCACATCCTTGGGATGTAGTAACATAAATGTGCTTTATAGGTTATAAGCACATACCTTGGGATGTAGTAACATAAACATGCTCCGATTTCCATAAGTAAGCTTTCCACATTGAATTCAGCTTCTAACATCATATTAGAAGGGAATTGGGTATCTTATCCATAGAGATATCAAGTGGGTCTTTAAACCATCCAGACTTCTTTACCAAGTCACTAGCTAACCTCTTCATCAACTGATTAGCTAAGTTTTGTTAAGATCGAACAAACTTAACAGAAATGATATTATGAGTAACGAGCTCATGTACCATGTTATGCCTAACACCCAAATGTCACGACATTCTATTATACACTTGACTATATGCTTTTTCCAGGGTGGCAACACTACCACAGTGTATAGAAATAACTGTTATAGGCTTTGGCCACAAAGGAATTTCATAGATCAAATTCCCCAACCATTATGCTTCCTTTCTAGTAGCTGCAAGGGCTACAAATTCAGATTTCATAATTAAATTTGTGATGCATGTTTGTTTCTTAGAATCCCATGAAATGGTATCTCCACCAAAAAGAAACACCCAACCACTCGTAGAAGAGGGGTCCTCAACATTAGCGATCCAATTAGCATTTGTATACCATTCAATAACCGAAGGAAACCTTACATAAGTCAAACCAAAGTTCATGGTTTTCTTTAGATACTTCAACACTCTCATTATTGCTTGTTAGTAATAAGTACTAGGATTGCTAGTAAACCTCCTTAGCTTTCCTACAGCAAATACAATATCAGGTCTTGTGCCGGTCATATCATACATCAAACACCCAATGACCTTTGAATATTCAAGTTGTGAAACTGCTTCACCACTATTTTCCATAAGTTTCATACTTGGATCCAAACTCAATTATGATCCAAAACTTATTATGAACCAAACTTTAATATGAACTAAAACCTATATGAAAAACCATTCATGATTCAAAATGATATGGTTCAAAATGATATGATTCAAAATAATATAATTCAAAACATATAACCACTTTTTGTGTATACAAATGTGCATCATATAATATTGATAAACTTGATCTAAACAATTTCTTATAAAAGATGACATAACTCAAAGCATAAAATCATTTGCACTGCAACTAAATAATGATTTATTATATATAATCTATTAGTCAAAATATATAAAATGTCAAATGCTTGAACATTTTAAAAGACATGCAGCATATCACACGCTTTCATATACAAACTAAGATGTACATATTGTTAAATTACATTAATACTTTGACTTTATGCTTAAACAACATATCAATATCAAAGGGTTGCCATGTCTCTTGTGGAAACTGTACTCAAATTCAAAATCTCTAAGAGGTGAGTCATATCAATAACACAAACAAGGAAGCTTTCATTTTTTTCTATGTCTATACGACATTTGATATTGACAATGCCAAAATATACAGATTGTTGCTCGAAATGAGAAGATGATGGCTCGATGGAAGTTTTGCATTAAGATGGAGAATAAAGAACTCTCCTACGGGAGCTTATAAAAAATCTACAATAAAAACACGGTTGTTAGAAATTAGTCAAATGAACAATGCACTTAACTATGAATACAAACTAAGAAAACATATCTAGTTACACTGGCAGTTGTGTCATCCGCTACTTGGGTTCTCCAGATGATATATCATTATGAATAACACAACCAAACGATAGATTAAGAAACATAACATTAAAAAAAAAAAATATCATTCACAATTTTATGAGTTAAGAATGATATGATGCAAATAGTTTATGATCAAAATGTTACAAATCAATCAACATAATGATCCAATTCAAACTATGTATGATCCAAATATTTATTATCCAAACATGTTATGATCTAATGCTACAAATAATATGATAAACAAACGAATTATATGATCTGATGCCAAAGAGTATTAAAAAAAATCAATGTTGTGATTTATTTTTCATACTTTTTATGATACAAACATGTTATGGTCCATAACACAATGCTCCAAATAAAGATATTAAAAAATAGAACATAAGTAAGTTGCAACAACATTACATATTTATTGTGTGTTTTACTTAATAGATTTGTATAATTGTTTCTTTAGGAGGTCAGTCTTTATTTATTTAAACTACTTTTTATCAATATGATTTTCATTTTGATAATCATCATTATTCTACACACACCTACAATCCACAATTCTCTTACCATTTCATCCAGACATCTATTACATTTAATAATTTTCCACGAAGACCAAAAACTAGTGTAAATGAAGAGTATGAAATAAGTCACTTACATCTCACACAAGCATAAATACAAATAAGTTGTGTGCGCAAAAATCAACAAAATTTTAGAAAATATTTCCAAATACCTCATGTGCATATAACTTTTTATAAACATTTTAACAAACACTTGAGTGCTTCATCAAAGTTGGGATTCCAATTGAATTTAGCTCATAAGTTTCTATGTTTTGTTTGTTAAAACATAATTTTAAATATTAAAATAAGAACATCTTTTAATGAGACATTGCACAACTCATGGTTCTACCATAATATGTTATCATGATGCTTTAGCCATTTTCTAGTTTCTCAAATTTGGTCTAATAACAGTATTGCAACTAAATTTGAGTATGAATCAGCTTTCTTGTGAAAAAAAATGTTTTTTTACATGAATTTGTATCAGTTAAAGCCTTTTTGGAATACAATTTCGTTTTAACCTAATTCTAAAAACAAAGTGGTAGATGAAGATATATGTTCTAAATCTGTGTATTGACTTTAAAGAGTAACCAATCTAACTTTAAATTGACGTTCTTATAAAAAAATTGAAAAAAAAATCTGTCATTTGCATACATTAATTCATCACGATCTAAAGAACAAATTATAGAAAAAGACAAAGACGATGAAGAGTAAAATCTTGTTTTCGCTTTTGAATCCAACCTGATTTTACGTTATTTGAAACAAATATCGTAGATTTCAGTAGAAACAATCACGATTTCAAGGGATTTGTATTGTCTTCGATTTTGCTTGATGAATGAAAGAATAAGATGAGCACACTGAACGTTGCTCAAATTGAATCCCCCCTTGTTAGCCCAATCCTCTTTCATTATAAGTCAATTCATTTCTAGGTTTAACAGAGCCCAATATTTTCCAGCCCGATACATTAGTTGTTTGCAACCGAATTCATTATTTGTTTGACGAAAACACCTTTAATGGACACAATTGCTCGAGAATTATCCTTGCAGTCCTTATCATTTTTCTAGTCTTCACCGGATATTATATATATATATATATATATATATATATATATATATATATATATATATATATATATATATATATATATATATATATATATATATATATATATATAATCATGTCTTAAACATACCATCCCCACTTTGGGTATGAACTTTAATCTCCCACCCAGCTCCGTTACCTGTTAAGACGGAAAACACCCATCCCGTTAGGGTTACCTGTTAAGACGGAAAACACCCATCCCGTTAGGGTCAGGTACTCGCAAATACCCGAATCTGCAAATCAAATTTACATCCTTATTCACTGGAGAAGACAAAGGATGGTAAGGGCATCTAGAAAAGTGACACGATGTGTGTAGGGTCCATTTCTTTGTTCGTATATAAACATTACCATTAGGATTTACACATATGGATTTCTGAGAATAAAGATTTATCTATTTGTTGTAATGGCTTTTGTGAGATAGATTTTTTCATTTTAATGGTCTAAAGTGCTCAAAAAATAATTTAAATGATTTTTTTTTTTATATATAATACTTGAAAGTTGGCAGGACTATAATGACACTAACCCAAAAAAACAAAACACATATATAATCATCGATTTGGAAGTACTAGTGGTCGTTGTCGTTCATCTATGATTGAAATTTTTTAAATGAAACCCGATGATTTGGCAACATTTGGACTTGTGTACAATGTTTGAGGGTCCAATGAAAACTCCATGCGAAACATAAGATAACATGATTAAAGAGGAGTGTAACTCTGAATGAAAACTCCATACAACAGAAAATCAGGTAAAAGGGTAAAATTGGAATAAAAGAAAAACCAAAGCCTGATATTTGGAAAATACATCATGGATTACCTGCAATTGGATGATCAAATCTATAATTACCACCAGAGATACACACTTCAGCTCTTAAATATTGTAAGCAATTAAATACACCAGGTCATCCTAATATGTCATTGAATCGGAGTATGTAGCTTCTAAAATCCCATAATTCAATTTATATATAAAAGGGTTTCACATAATTTAAGCTAATAAAGCTTCTCCGTCATACAAATCAAGGAATTTATGGAGATTTGCTTGCTTTTAAAAACAGTTAATTAATTTAAGATCAATTTCTAGATTCAGAGCACATAAACAGGGAAAATTTGGGGATGATAAGCTCTAGTTGTGGATGCAAATTTATAAAAATGGTTATGGTAATATATTGCAAATACAAAAAATTGAGTTCAAGAGATTAACCTAGAATGCAATGAGCTGCAAATCTAACAGATTGATCCGAGCGATTTGAAAATTGGGGCTTCTTATTTTTTGTAGTCGCATTCTATGGTTTTGAATCATTCCTTACACCTACCGCATATGCAAAAGAAAAGAGAAATAGATGAAGAACGGAAGCACAATCTTAGAAGTCATCACCTGGACCAAGATGAACAGTGGATAGAAGCATTTATGTTAACAATAAATCGATTAAACAATTCTCGAAGCGATCTTGGCGTCCCAAAATTTCTGTAACCTGGGAAATATGGTGACATTAGTTGAGTCTGTTTGTTTGGTTATCAGAGGGGAATCTGTTGTAATTGATGTCAGCGTATCGAAGAACCTGAACGCCACCATTACTCCCAAACTCTCTAATCTTCCTTCTTAACAGGCAATTTTTTCATCGTCTTCAACCCCAACTTTAGAAAGATTGAGGAAAGCAACAACGTGTACATCGACGATCAAAGGGGTTGGAGGCGGTGGGAAGACTAAAAGGTGGGAGACAAAGAGGGTGTTAGAAAGAACGTATCACCTGATCAAATGGATTAACTAACCCCGGTAGAGGTGGATGGTAAACTGAGAGAGAACGGTGAAGCGGTGGACTGGGTGGGCATAATAGCAGTAAGAAGGAAGACGTGGATGTGGAGAAGAATGGTCGGTAAATTGAATGAGATGGGTAGACATCAGAAGCAGATAATGCGGTGGGTGGACTCTATCGGAAGATGAAGCGGTGACTCTAAATCCAAAATGGATCCCAACAGGACACATTCCATAAAGATGGGAGAGTGGTGGAGGATGGAGATGAAGTCGGGGGTAGATATCTGGAAGTTTACTATTGGATAAAAGAAAGGTGGAATCGACAGAGAGAAACACGTAGAAAAGAAAATACCAGGGTCCACTGAACAGGAGGTACTGTTCAATTAAGAACCCTCTTTTTAGTATTGACAAAAAAAGCAAAAAAAGCCCAAGTTAAAACATTAGTGGCAAAAGTAGGAAGTTGAAACATTAGTGGCAAAAATCAGAAGTTGGAAACTTTCCTGTTCCTTTTCATCACAACTTTAATAGTAACTAGTGTAGGGACCCATCGGAAAGCATTTTCTTTTTTCAGATTTTTTATTGCTATAATTGGACATATACTTTGAAATACAATACTCTAATAAGAAAAGTTGAAAGTACGGTTATACAATAGACAAATAAATGAAAATTGCAGCAATTAAAAATGAATTACAACAATACCTTTAAACAATGACCATAAATGTGAGAAAAACTTCAAATTAAGGATCATAACTGAAATACCATTTTAGGGACAACAAAATAAGTTAATCAATTAAAAATCTAAAATCTTATCTTGACGTTTTCCACCTTTTGAGTATTCCCTCTTCAACCCTTACAATAATACAACAATTTTTTCTCCCTTTCCTCTTTTCTTCAAAATCCCTTTCCAATCACCTCAAAATCCGTGTACAGAAGCTGCATAAGTTAAAAACAAATTAGTATTAGTAAAAAGAAAAGTAAAAACAAAGTAAAAAGTGAGTTTCTAGAAACAAACTATAACAAATGGTAACTCCCTTGCTCTTTATGCAAATAAGAAATAACAATAGAAGTAGAATGCACATTTGGTCCGTGTTTAAATGTAACAATGTACTTTCAGACTACAATGGCTTAATAATAAACAAATTTAAATAAATAAATAAAATACTAACTTACAATTTATGCCCATGTCATGTATTTTTGGATTAAGTCCACTAAAAACCTTTTTGCAAATTTGGTCATGTTTTCAATTTTTTAATATTTTTGGTCCTTCTCACTACCATCATTAGCAAAACATTATTAAACACATGTAAATAAACCGTATTACCCTTAAATATAATCTTTGCACCTTGAATCCTCCAAAGGTCAGAAATCGAAAGTCTATTCCACCGGTAATTCCAACACCTATAGGAATGCCAATTTTATCCTTCTTAATGTGCTGCATCTACATAGAGTTTCATCAAACAATTAAACCTTTTGATGAAGGAACCATTTTCATCCATATGTAATGAGTTCATTTCCATTTATTGGTAATTAAAAATGGTATTTTTATTTAATTATACTACAAATATGTAGAGTAGGAAAAAAACAATCAAACAAAAATAAGTTTCTGAAGTTAAATTATACATAAACTATCATCAAGTTTATGTATCTCACACCCATCAAGCCAATAAGATGATATCTCCCTGAATTGAATATCTATTTCATAACTCGGGTGGAATGAATGATAGTCTTTTACACAAACTACATAGAACACACAAATTAGTTCTTAATAAACAAAAATCGCGATAAAAAAAAAAAAAAAAAAACTTTACATGACACCTCAAGTTGAAGAGCAGATGTTGTACTCATCATCGTTGTCTTTTTGTTCCTCTTTCGATTCCCATTTCATGTCCGACCTGAAAGACCGCCAGATGAAATGAAGTTTAATTTGAAGAACCTGATCTTTATTGAAAAAAAAAAAACATAAAATTAGAAAGATACTAAAAGATTATCGCACCAAAACTTGTTGAGAAATCATTTCATGTACCAAGAGACAACAATTGCAGTTGGTGGAAAGTTACGACTTCATTGGTCGTCAAAAATTTTAAGCACACATTATACAGCTTACTTACCATGATAGAATGTAATATATATTAGAAATTGAAAAATGATTAAGTTTTCTGTCATCAAAATTTTAGGATAGGAAATCTTTTGAACAACTGTCTGTATATTTTCACCACCTTTGGTTGTAAGTTGTAACTCCCTATCCTTACCTTCTTGCCTAAAATTTCTAAAAGTCCATTTTTGCCTACTTTAAAAAAACTGAACTTGGACAAAAAAAATTCAGAAACCTGGTTCGAGCATTTTATCGAGCAGGTGGAATGCATCATGAAATTTCTTTTAAATTTCCCCAGCTACCTGAACATTTGTCTCCTAATTCAGTATCAAAAGAAATTTATAGAACATAGGCAAAAAAAGATGGTGCATTGTGTAAAAAAAATCGAGTCAAATGATAGAACATAGGCAAAAAAAAGATGGTGTTTTATGTCTAAAAAAATTGACTCAATTTCGAAGCCAAAGGGACATGTAATCAGAATCGTCTTCCTCCTTTTCTCTATCTCAAAACAAAAATCAGAAATTTAGAATTTAAAATGTGGGTGCAGTTTAACAGATTAGAGAGGAGCTGCAAGCAAAACGTTTGTAAATATATATTTTTTTAAATCAAGGTGCAGAGGTTTTGAGGTGGTATTTCCACCCTAAATCTTGGGAAGAGAAGACCAATCAGTGAACTCATTTTCGTGATATAGTAATTGTAACAATAATAAAGAAGGTGAACTAAAATCGCTACCCCTTTCATACCTACCTGAGTGGGGGCGGCCGAAAATCAACAGGCTGACCGGTGACCGGCGAGTATGGTGGTGAGGAAACTACTGCAGCTTTCGTGGTCTCCTTGTGCAGACGGTAAGTAGTGAAGAAGATTAATGGAAAGGATCTTAGGCGGTGGAAGATGAAAGGCGGTGGGGTAATAGAAGCATTAAACTAACATCAGTTAAGCAAACCTCAGTTAAACAAACCTGATGAACAGTACCATAGTTAAATACTGTTCATAAGGATGTTGTGCTTTAATTATATGTTTAATAATAATAATAATAATAATAAAGAATCAAAATGAACCCCTTTATTCCTCAAATTCACGTCCATTTTCATGCTTATGATTATATTTGGTGATTAATAATTGTAAAGTGAAAAAGAACACATCATCGTGAAAGAGGTTTTAATAACAAGGGAAGTGATTCGTACACAACAGTTTTTTGCCGTACACAACAATTTATGCATTATAAAGTTGTACAATACAACACTTTAAAGCACAAATTGTTGTGTATGGAAAAAAAAATGTTGTGTACGAATCAGTTCCCTTTTTTTTGTCATTTTAGTTTAGTTTTTGTTCCACTTTGTTCCATCTATTTTGGCGGGACTAAAAAATAGTTAATTAGTCCCATTGACTTGGTCAAATTTTCAATTTGTTTTTGTTCCACTCATGCCAAACACCACTTTAATATCTATTGTTCTGTTTTGTCCAATTCAGTTCTCCGTACCAAAAAACAGTAATAGAGGATGTAAGGAAAACAAGACTTTTCCAACCAACTTCCTTGCACTTTTAACCCATAATAGCAACCTACTCATGATTTTTTACTAATCATAACATCTAATACATTTCATTATATGCTAACATTACAAACATCAAGCAACTTTGACACAAGTCAAACAACAATGAAACTATCAAACAATCATTCATCATCCAAAAACTCCTCAGGGTCACTTCCAAAGTACATATTATCCGTATCCTCAGGCTCTCCCGTGTCCACATCATCAACCGCATCTATTTCTGCCATCTCCTTTTCTCTCTCTGCAACCAAAACCTTTGCTGCTTCAAGCCTCAAACTCACTGTTTCCCATGATACAAGCTTATCAAGAAACACTGATATATAATCCGGCCTACGGTTCTGTAAACAAATACAATTTTTAAAAACTGTTACTAAAACTTACTTATAATAACATTAAATAAAATTTTTGATAATCGTTATATGCATATGAAGTCTTACCTCAAAGTCAAGGTAGTATGCATGCTGCAAAAGTATAAATTAGATTCAAAAAGTTAAATTAATATAAGTAGGAGTAAATGATGCACAAAATAGTTTATTTATGATTTATGAATGAAAGTGAAGATATGTTACCTCCCAGACATCTATAGCGAGAAGAGGCTGCACATTAGAAAGTGAAAGAAACCAATTAATTGAAGGGGTAAATGCACAAAATAGCAAAATAATTTAACACTTAATAGAAGATAGTGACAATAAAATATTATCTTTACTTTACAATTTACTCACATGGTACTCCCAAACAAGAGGATTGACTGCATTTGGGCTCTTTACCACAACAAGCTTTTTATCTTCCTCTGATGGACGTGGATTTCTAGCATTTGGTATGTCAAGTTTATGCTCTTTATCTAGAAAGAAACACAAGGGTAGAAATGTCATTTCATGCGTGTTTTTGTTTATATCTACCTTTAGGTAAAAGTAAAACAAGCACTTACAAACAAGCCAAGCCCAACCAGAACCAAACTGAGTAGTGGCAGCTGATTTAAACTCATTGATAAGGCCTCCAAACGAACCAAAATCTCTGTTTATTAATGCTAAAAGTTCTCCAGAAGGCTTTCCACCACCATTAGGTTTCATGGACTCCCAGAAGAATTCGTGGTTCCATACCTGTGCAGCATTGTTGAAGGCTGGAAGAACATCGCCTTTGTTATATGAAGTTGATATTATGGTTTCTAATGTCATTTCATCTAGTTCGGTTCCTTCAATTTGTTTGTTCAAGTTGTCGACATAAGCTCTGTGGTGTTTTCCCCAATGATACTCTAATGTCTCTTTGCTCATATGCGGTTCTAGAGCATGCTACCATAGATGGAACAAGAAGAGAAGGTGTGAAGGTCTTGTAGTAAGAGAAGGAATATAAATGTCAGAATGTGTATTAGGCGTACCAGTGGATAAGGAGGAGGTTTCAGATTAACGCTGGCTGATATTTTCCGATGAACAGATCTACTAGTACACCGTCTCTGTAACAGAATTGTAGTTTCTTCAAACGATAGAAAACGAAGATAACAGAAAAGTTGCATCTTTGTTTGGAACCAATATCAGTACAAACTAAGCACAAACACACGTAACGCGGGAATGAACATTTAATATGAAATCCCAAACATGATAGAAAACTTTCATTTAGTGGCAGAGGCATTTCGTCGAACACCATGCTTGCTTCCCTAGAAACCCCATTCTTTGAAAGCCAAGAAATTTTATCCGCGTTGAATTGTTTGATGCAGTTAGAATAACGAATTTGGAAGAAACAGTCGAACAGAGATGACTGACCTGTCTCTGTGGCCCTTGTAAGCTCCGAGATAGGCCACAAGATTCTGCAATTGATTCAATTTGAATACCCATCAGAAATCAATTAAGTGTCATATAAAGATAGAATTAACGGTGGCAAAACCTGGGGTGGAAAGAAATGTAGTAAGATGAGAAGCGGTTGTCGTGGCAGCCGCCATTACCATCATCTGCAGCAGAGCTTGTAACAGGATGAGGATATTTGGGTTGGGGGTGTTTCGAGAAGGTGGGTGGGGTTTTGGAGGGTTTTTGGGTTTCAAGACATATGTAGCCTCCAGGCTCCAGGACTTCATTTAAAACTTATTTACTATTATATTTTAGAGTAAATTACACGAATCGTCCCTCGTGCATGTGTCAAAGTGCACGTTCAATCCCTATTTTTAAAAATTAACTCGGACCGTCCCTTGGATGTTTTAAACTTGCACGCTTGATCCCTCGTTGGATTAAATTTACACACTTCATCCCTTACCATATTTAAAATGATTATACTACCCTTACTATTCTATTTTAATTTATTTATAATTCATTTTATATATAGAAAATAGAAATTACAGCTCCTATATCTATCACCCTTTTCCTCTTCCTCTCATCATGAAACATCCTCACCGCCACCTACCGAACCACCACCACCGACGACTACCTCCGACACCATATCACCGCTTACCGCCATCAATGGACCACAACCCCTTCTTTCTCCCTATCTCTCCTTTCTTTTCTTTGATGTGAGTGCTAACTCTTCAAGCCTTCACCTTCATGAAACCCAGCACCGTCACCACCACCTCCTTCACCGGTCGTCGGTAACCTCTAGGCCGTCATCGCTACCATTCTTCTCCGGTCCAAATCTCCTTAAAGAACCACCGTTTACCTCCAGCAAGAACTTTTTGTTTTCACTTTCAAAAATGAACCCTATAACTTAAGCTTCAAAAAGATGAGATTGGAAATGAAAATCGGCACCAGAGCTTTAGATTCAAAGTATCAAAGAAGAAGACGGGGAAAGGTATTGTTCAGCGGAGGTGAATGTGTTGAAATCGAACCATCATAACATTGATGTTGTCCCCAACGTGCTTCAAGAAAACCCTCACTCAGGTACTACACCTTGTCGCCTTCTGGATCTGCAACACCCCCGATTGGAATTCTGAAGAAATCAGCTATGTCGATTGGTAGTTGCTGCTAGGTTTATCGAACGAAAAAATATAGGGTTTTTTGGGAGGCGATTAGTGGTGGTTTTGATTTGGTTGGTTCACGATCGGAATAATGGAGTCGGTCGGAGATGTTGCAAAAGTCGTCGGTGGGGTGTTAACTGTAGATAGGAGAGGAGATGCACTGAAGAAGAAAAGGGGCGAGGGGGCAACCAGACGAGTTATCAACGTATTTAGTGGCTATTTCTTTTTTTAAAAGGAAATAATAATTATTTTATAATAAATAAATCAACATATAATTAATAAATAACAAATAATTAAAAAAAATAAATCAAAAAGGAAATAAATAAGGGCAAAATGGTCTTTTTATATCCGGAGGGATGAGGCATGTAAGTTTAAAACTAACGAGGGACGATCCGAGTTAATTTTTTAAAATAGGGACTGAACATGCCTTTTGGCACCTGGACGAGGGACGATTCGTGTAATTTACCCTATATTTTATAACATAAGTTAATTCATTGGAACTTTTAAGTTTTAACTAAATATCTTTAAATTATAATTTTATATTTTTATTACATGAAACATAAAACAAGAGATCCTAGATAGTAGTATAGTACATACAAAATCTCTACATAATATCTTGATGTTAACCAAATACCCACTAAAACAAGAAGTCAACCCCAAACAAACCAAATGAAACTAAATTAGTAACAAAATCTTTTATCTTCATTAATCTTCGCAACATGAATGATTAGCAGTGGTTTTAAGGGTTGATCAGACCTTGCAATGTGCAAATTATATAATATAAATTAAAACTATAAAGTCTATTATTCTAAAATAAAATACATAAAATTCAATTAAAACCTAAGAAATAAAATAATAAGAGTAAATTACACGAATGGTCCCTATGTTTTAGGGTAATTTGCGCGTTTGCTCTCTAATTTATTTTTTTTACTCGGAAGGTCTCTATTGTTTGTTTTTATTGCGCACTTGATCCCTGTCTTACCTAAAAAGATTATTTTGCCATTGATTTTTTAATATATTTAAATAAATGTACTCACAACTCCACTTTCACCTCACCTTACCTATCCTACATTATTTAAATAAATTAAAAAATCAATGGCAAAATAGTCTTTTTCAGTAAGACAGGGACCTAGTGCGCAACAAAAACAAATTGTAGGGACCTTCCGAGTTAAAAAAATAAGTTAGGGACCAAACGCGCAAATTACCATAAACCATAAGGACCGTTTGTATAATTTACTCAAATAATAAACATAAAAATTATGTATTCTATTTGACGTCGTTTTGCACATCCCATGACAATTCTCTAAAACTTGGTGGAAATTTTCCTATTTTCTTGACGGAAAATTTGAAAAGTAATATTTAAAACCATTTGCATCATTTTTATCACTTGGTTTGATCCTTCATTTTGGGTAGATTTTATCTTTGAATCGGTAGTGGCTTCAGTTCATTTTGTTGAGTAAAAGTTCAATGATTTTGTTCAAAAAGATGATCCGCTTTTCGTTGATGTCGACCGTTGGATCCTCCGATACATGAACTCATACACGAGCAAAAACAACCTCTTTTATCGGGGTCCAATGTACAAAATTGAGGTATTCCTTTTGTTAGTGGAACCTGATTGTGCTTTTGAGGAAGATATTTTGCAAAGATAAAATCAGTGTTGTAGAAATCGGTCTTGGCGGCCGATTAATCAGCGATTAATCGTTTGTCGGTCTTAAACCGATTACGATTAGCGTGTTTGACGGAAATTTGTCAAAATCGGCCTTGGAGGTCCTTGGTGGCCCTTGGCGGTCTCGGCAATCATAGGCGGGAATTTTTTAAAAAATTCAAAAAATTTTAATTTTCAAATTATTACACCAAAATTTTAAATTTTTAAATTTTTAAGCTTGCAAATTTTAAAATATTAAACTAAAACTTTCGAGTTTTTAAAATTTTAAAATTTTAAATTTTCAAATACTTAGTTTTTTAGGGAATATTAATTTTTTTAAATAAATTTATTAATAATTAAGGATCCCCGATTAATCTCCGATTAATCCCCACCTAATCCGATTAATCACTTATCGTCAGTCGACCGCCGAACGATTTTTACAACATTGGATAAAATTGAGAGGGATAAGATGGATGTTGAAGGTTTGAGAGAAGTAATATGAATATTGAAGAAATGAAGGTAGTTGTTGATATTTATTTTGGTTGAAAAATCGTAAAGAAAAAATTGAATATTTGGTTTAAAAACGAATATTTTTTTGAGTTTGACACACTCTTCTCTACAAGTCGTTACCGAATATGGGTTGCCGAGCTCGGCATATGTAGTTGGTGGGGCAGTTTTTGTCGAGTTAACTCAACAAATGTAGATCCCAGTCCACAGCCTAATGACATGTATAAATCAGAATCAAGTGGATATTCTATATGGGTGTGTTTACACACAGTTTTTTAGAATTCTAGCTTCTAGCTTTTAAGAAAAAAAACTCTATTAAAAAAAACTTTGTTCGACAGCATAAGCTTTTAGTTTTTTCGTTAAACAAAAGTTTCAAATCTAAAAGCTACTTCAACTAGTGTTTAACAAAAAAAACTCTTTTAGATTTTAACAAATTGACTTAAATACATTTTAAAATAAATAAATCATGTCCATACTTTTGATAATTATTTTATACGATTAAATATAAATATATTTTAACAATTATAATGTTTTTATTTGAAACAAAGTATATCTTATACTATTAAATGTAAATATGGTTTAATAATTATGATATTTTTATTTAAAACAATCTTATCAGCAAATTTATAATTTATTAATATTCATCTACTAAAATACAAATATTTATTATATTAATCGATAAACTAAAATTAATATCTTAAAATAATATTGTTTCGTTTAGAATACTGAAACACTTGTAATATATTAAAATATTTGGTTTGAGTTCTTACAAAAATTGAAAAGTTTTATTTTCTTTATTTGACATCATTTACTAATATGCCTAAAAAAGTTTTTATGAATTAACAAGCTTAATCTATACATTTGGTATTAAAATTTGGATTATTTTAACTTTTGATCATTATAGTTTAGAAAAAATCAATTATAATCATTATATTCTAATTTTAGTTATATCCATATTCACTTTTATATCATAAACTTTCCGTTACTTGTATAATTACTGTGTCGAATAATCCATACATAAAAAAAAAAAAAAAAAAAATCCATCTTCTCCAGCTACCGACTTCCAATATTTCAACTACTTTGGCTAGACATTTTCAATATGGATGTCATAACAACCCTCAAATTTTCAAGAAATGTTCGGTTATATCATAAGTCCATTTTTATGTCCACAAAAACCGCACATTTGGGAAAAAATTATCATAATTGCCCTATTTTCCGATTTTACCCTTCTATGACATTTTGGGGTGTTTTGTTCAGTTGTTTTCTGTTTATCATCATAGAAGTTCAAAGATATGCCCTTCATACTCAATGAAATCCATATATTGAATCAATAAAATTCCACATAACAATCTCATTTTGGCATCAAGGAATCAATTCAGATGAACAAGATCGTCCATTCGTAACCCAGAAACCACCACCAGTTGTGATATGCATCACCATCACCATCAAATATCAAACAATTCTGCTACCATCACTGAAATCCACCACCGCCACCACATCTACATTGACATCGTCCACTACCACCACCTCCTTTTCTTACCCATATATAAACTCATTACCCAGATCGATGTCATGGGTGCTCAAACCTAAAAATTAAACCCAAATATGATACCCAAAAATTAAACTCAAAAACCATAGATGAAATCAAAATCGTGGTTAGCAACACAAATATACAAACTTGAAATTAAACCCAAATTAAACCTAAACCAAAACTTGAATTCACGTTTCAGATAGTAGAGAAGTGAAGGAGATGATGGTGATGAACAATCAAGGGCGACGATAGGAAGTGGGTCAAGTCGCAGGAGTTTGCATCTGATGAAAAATCAGGGGCGGCAGTAGGAGTTGGGTTTCATGGCAGTGGTTGAGAGTAATGGGGGCGGAGTTTCGGGGAAGAAAGGTTACATCGATCGATTCATTGGACTCGAGGTTCAATTCAGAGGAGGGCAGTGATCTTCAAAGGGTGCTTGTCGGTATGCTCAGCAATCGAATGAGGTGTTGGAACAATGGTGAGCAGGAGATGGCAGCCGATGGGTTTCTGGCTCGTTTTTTCTTGGCAGGAAGCTCACCGGTGGAGTTCTTTTTGGTTTCCAACAACAATAGAAATCGATCAAGAGGGAAGGGGTGTTTGGGTGACAATTACTGAAGAAAGAAGAAGGTGGATGAAGGGTTGCTAAAAATGGTTGGAATGGAGGTAACAACCCTCCCTTTCAAACTTGGTTTACTGGTGATGGAAGGAAAAGAACGAACAAACCAAACACACTCTAATCTTAAAACCAAACACCCCTAATTCCATAGAAGGGTCAAATCGGAAAAGATGGCAATTATGACAATTTTTACCCAAATGTATGGTTTTTGTGGACATAAAAATGGACTTAGGATATAACCGAACATTTCTTGAAAATTTGAGGGTTTTTATGACGTTAGCCCATAGTAAGAGTGATCTAACAAATCTACATTTTACAACTAGTTAGTTTTAATCGATATTAACAAATTATAAATAAACTCTCAATATACGATACTATTATGTTAACACCGTTGCTCACTTTGAAAACGTACACCCCGCTAAATATATTCTAGAAAAAACTAAATAAACTATAATTCGACCTAAAAATCTTGATATGTGATATTAAAACATATACATAACTCCCTTTTTAAGGATTAATAATGGCCATCTCATTTTTACATTAATTTATTGAGAGGTGGAGAGAAATAATAGTAAGAAACATGAAGGTGCGATCAAGAATCGAGGAGGGGAAAGGAAATTACATAACTCAATTCACCATAAACCTTCTCCAAATTCATTTCTTGCATCATTTTTCAGATATCCCCCCTATATCTATCTCTATATATAAGCAAAGAAAACGACATTGGATTGCCTAAACATAAGGAAAGATATATATCGAGAAAAAAAGGGGGGAAATGGTAAGATATTTGTTTCTGATTATTCTCAACCTAATCTTAATCATTCTTCCTTCAACCATTTCGGACGATAGTATACCCATCCCACAAGAACGATCCCAAGTAAAGAAATGGTTCAAAGAAAACGTAAAACCTTTACAAGCCCGAAAAGCAACCCTTGATCCTGACCTAGTGGCTGCAGAAAAAAAACCAAGGATCATAAGAGTCATGAAAAAAGGTGGTGGTGATTTCACAACAATTTGTGATGCTGTAAAAACCATCCCATTAAAGAATACAAAAAGGGTTATTGTGTTCATCGGACCAGGAGAATATGTTGAGAAGATTAAAATGGAGAGGGAAATGAAGTTTGTTACTTTAATGGGAGATCCTGACAACATGCCTACCTTGATTTTCAACGGAAATGCCGCAACTTATACCACGGTCGAAAGCGGGACATTAACTGTCGATGGTGATTATTTTGTCGCGGCTAATTTGCATATTAAGGTCCATAAAACAATTTGACATCTTTTTTTTTTTCTTCAAGAAAATGCATGTCCTTGCATAACTGTGTAACACTGGTAATGAGATAAGAATCCATAAGAAATGTCGTAGGTTCAAGCATGGATATGATAGAAATTAATTCCACACCTTTTAAACGTGTAGAATTCGAGCCCGAGACCAAATGGAAAAACGAAAGGAAGCCAAGCGGCTGCAATGAGGATTGGAGGGGACATGGCGGCATTCTACAACGTAAGATTTTACGGGTTTCAAGATACTTTATGCGATGATCGTGGCCGACATTTCTTCAAAGATTGTTACATTGAAGGAACGGCTGATTTCATCTTTGGTAATGCAAGATCTATCTATCTGGTAAGTGAAAACGGTTGTGAAGAATCTTTTTAATGTTGCTTGTATTGTATTCGATTTTTTTTTTTTGTTGTTTTTGTGTTACTTGTAGAACACGGAAGTACATTGCATTCCAGGAGAATTACAATCATGGATAACGGCACAAGCACGGGAAATGGATGAAACAGACACAGGATATGTGTTTGTGCATTGCCCGGTGACCGGATTAGGGAAAGGATGGTACTTAGGAAGAGCATGGAAAGGGTTTTCAAGGGTGGTGTTTGCTTACTCGAAATTGGGCCCTATCGTCGATCCTAAAGGATGGAGCTCCAATAATAAACCTTTACCTGACAAGTAAGTTAATGACAAGTCATAACAAATTATACTCTATTTGACATGCATTAAACTGAAACGGATGTCAATAGAACAAAAACTAAAAACTACTTTGTATCGTCCAAAAAGGTGGGACAAAGCCTAACTTCTTATTTTTTTTAAAAATAACCCTAAAAAACTTATCTCTTGTGTAAACAAATTGTGGTTTGATTGAAACATCTTGTAGGAACCTATATTTTGCGGAATATAAGAACAAAGGAAAAGGTTCGGATATGATAGGAAGAGAACGATTTGTGAAGAAGCTTACAGACGCAGAAGCTAAACGGTTTATCAGCCTTTCGTATATTGGAGGTAGCAAGTGGCTTCTTCCGCCTCCAAAACCTAACAAGTTTAGGCCCAAAAGAAAATTGCAAGTCCTCAATAGTTAGAAGGAAGAGTAAACATGTATTATATTGGTTTATATTTCCAAGCAAATTTAAGACTAAATTGTTAAAACTTCATTACTTTGGATTTCTATTCCATTTATATAATTTCAAATCCAAAGATAAGCCACAACACTTTGACTACTAAACTTCCAACAATATTTTGGGCGATATGAATTAGACTAAAAGAGGTTTAAGTTCCATTCTTCGGACTATGATGAGTATGAAAGGAAGTTAAAAAAAAGTGCATACAACAAACATAGTTCTTAAAAGATAAAGCTACAAGAATGTTGGGAAATGGTACATAATCATACATGTTCTAAAAGACTAAGTGGGACCCTGTATGAGCATTGACTCGTTTGACCACTTGTTAACTTAAATCTCAATATGGTCGGTATCTCATCGGCCTTCTTGCCCTTGGAATCCTTCTGCAAAAAAAAAAAAAAAAAAAAATTGTTAGGCTTCTGCTATTATTTTGATATGTTAAAAATCAAATCACATACTCATACCCATATGGAGAGTACATTGGTGGGCCAGGCATGAAAGGCCTCCGGGAATTGAATCCAAGATAAGGATTGGAACGCCTGCCTCTGAATTGTTTCATTCCAGGGACATTTGTTCTTTTAGCAGCAACCTGAATGAAAACAGTTTGTAACATGAAATTTTGACAAGGCCATTTTGGTAATTTTGCAAATGGAAGAAAGGGATAAAGTTTTAGGATTAGGACCTTGAGTTGACGACCATGTAATTCTGATTCATTTAAAAGGAGAGCGTTTGGAATAGCTTCAAGCTCCACAAATTCAACATATGCAAAACCTTTTGGTTGACCAAATTTGTCTGTTAATATTGTCACCCTGTTCACTGTTCCACATGATTGAAAATGCTGCTGAACTTCCTCAGGTGTACATGCATAATCCACCTGAAGTTCAGATTATATAACTTTAATCATATAAAAATATTTTTTTGTTCTTTAGAATGGAATAAGGTGAAAGATAAAAGAACCTCACATTACCAACATATATAGAACGCGCATCTGCTTCCTCTTTTTCAGCCTGAGTTGCAGATGCACCCGAAGAATCATCTAATCATGTCCATAATCAAAACAAAAGCAAATTTTAATACACAGACTCACATATCTTAAATTCTCAGCCAATAACTTGGAGATGATGTCACCAATGAAGGTAACAAGTCTTGTAATCTCATAACAACAAAAATTATATAATCTTCCAAAGTATTTTATGGAAAGTGAGAGGACTAATCAATCTTGTTTAATAGGAAGCTTTTTATCTGATTCATGAGAATTCAACTATGAGGGAGCCTTAACCTTTCTAAGGTCTTCAAAATCTTAAACTAGGGTTATGTTTCATCTTATTACACAATATGAACTCACCTTATTTGACGCAGTTTATGTCTACCTAAAGTTGGATTGATGTATGATGTATCCATGAACAAAAATGGAACAAATGCTGAATAATGAAAACAATTCAGAATATAGAGCATAGGATAAGCCAAAAATAGTCAAATTAGAACAAAGACCTTGAACGGAGCCCATCTCCTTCTCAACTTTTGCCTGCATTTCCCGAAGCGCGCCAGCTTCTTCTTCAATCTCCTTCAGTCTCTTCTTCATATCCTCTAAATCCTAAATTCACAAACAAAAGAGATACAGAAAGAAATTTCGAAATTAAATTAGGGCTTGAAGTCACTTCACACGAATGCATAATTATTCAATCCCCAAACCATACGTATCAAAACGTCAACATTGGAGGTATCAGAAATATTAACCTTCGAGTTGTTGTTTTCATCTCCTTCCGTTTCGTTCCTCGACATCTCAACATCGGCGTCCATTTCTCCTTCATCTGGTATATCTCCGCCGTACACTTCGTGCTCCTGATCTTGGTCTTGCTCCGCCGTGTGATCCATAGCTCTAACCTCCGATCTGTCTCTGCACAAACACGAAGTGCTTCGACTTAGGGGTTGTATAGAGAGGTGAGAGTTTGTGACCGATGATGGCGAAACCAGATGAAGGCTAACACTGTTATTTGTTTCAACCCTGGGGGTAGTTTTTGAATATTTGTACAAACTTGGGCTGGATTACTTATCGACCTTATTATATATTGGGCCAAGCCCAATCCACACGAACAAAAATCTTCTTCACTCTCGACACACGGATTACAAACGACGCTGATCGGTGGTGGATTCTCCGGCAGCGACTACTCCCTCGGACGGTGAGTGGCGTTTACTCGCTCTTGAAGTATCAAGTACCTCCCTTACTCTGAATCTGGAAATCGCTATTTTTCTATTAGCTCATTTTTTGTTGAATTCATTTGTGACTTGGAGAACTTGTGACTTGAATTCGAAGAACGATTTTCAGTTGTTTTGAGTTTGCTTTCTGTTGTTTATGATCAAATGTACAGTTCGATGCTGAAACTCTCAATTTCGACTTAGAGCCCTATAATAAAATCGTGAATTGTGATATGATTAGGAAATTGAAATTGCGAGTTACGATTAGGGTTCGCTAGCCACATCAAACTTTATGATAAGTATTTCAACTGGAATAATTTGTAAGATGAATTCAACATAATAAATCGAAATGTGGCTCAATTTTCTGGAACAAAGGGGTATATACCATTAACGTTTCCCTTTTCTACTTACCTTGCTGATTATCCAGAGGCGTGAGTCTTGAAATCTTCCATCGGAGATCTGCAACTCTATGGCTTCAAGTCATGAAGATGATGACTCCTCAAATACCCACAGCTCGTAAGCTTTTATATGTCACAGTTAATACAAATTATAGTTATTGCATGATACAACCATTTTTCTGACCTAAATCATGTTCCAGGCCCAAGAAAGTATACCAAGATCCAGATGATGGGCGTCAAAGATTTTTACTTGAACTGGAATTCATACAATGCCTTGCGAATCCAACTTATATTCACTGTAAGTTTAATTCAAAATGGTAGAATCGTTACCATTAAAGATGTTAACTTTTTGCAAATTCTGATACAGATTTGGCTCAGAATCGTTATTTTGAAGATGAAGCTTTCATTGGCTACTTGAAATACCTTCAATACTGGCAACGACCAGAGTACATAAAATACATAATGTAAGCTAAGAGCCTAAGAATCTTGTTTTCTTTACTCTTTATAAAATTCTGCTTATGTTTTGGTGGATTACAACTTACAGGTATCCACATTGTCTTTACTTTCTAGAACTTCTACAAAATGCAAGTTTCCGCAATGCAATGGCACATCCAGCCAATAAGGAGTTGACACATAGGCAGCAGTTTTACTTTTGGAAGAACTACAGGAATAATCGGTTGAAACATATCTTACCAAGGCCCCTTCCGGAAACTACCGCACCACCACCATCTAATGCAGTTCCACCACCTCCAACCACCACCATTGCTGCTGCTTCTTCTGGTGGTCCTGTGGCTGTGCCGCCAGTACTCTCGCCTATGCAGTATGGTGTACCTTCTGGTCCACCTCTAAAAAGTGACCCTAGGAGTGGGATTGATAGAAGAAAGAGAAAGTAAAATCTTTTTATCTGTATGTTGACAATTTTTTTTTTTTTTTTTTTTTTAATGTTATACTGTTTCTTATATGTAAGAATGTGATAAAATGTTGATGAATGTTAAATCTTTTTGTTTTACAGGAAAGATGGATAGATTGATTTGAGGTATTCGTGCAATACTTCATGGCTGAAAGAACATAAAACTCGAGGTTTAGTGTTTCCTTTTGTAGTGTTGTCTAAGTTCTATATTTTACTATTGGCAATGAGAGCTTGATATTTTGTTTATGTGTATTCTTTTATTAAATTCAAGTATACATTCGTTTTTCAGTTTTTGTTTACATTACACAGTTAAAGAGTTAGATATATTAAAAGGATGATAATGTATCCTTTAATGATGTGTCAAATACATGTCATGAAGAAAACTTTTTTGATTAAACTAATTAACAAGTTAACTGATGATGCGAATGGAACGTTCTTTCTTCGTTGTGTGTTACAAGTTATGGGGTGCATGGACTTTTCAGGTCAAATACTTATTTATTTTTTGTTTATTGAAAAAGAGAACAAATCCTCACTATTTTTAAATAAGGCTGTCGGGCAAGGATGTCAAGATCAGGAATTCATATAAGATCATTTTTAGGTTTACAAGATTGGGATCGGGATCCTAAGATCTCATTAAAAACTTAATTTTAACATATAAATTTAAAACATGAAAAATATATTCAATGTTCAGTTTTCTGTTTAAAACTTATAAAAACTTCTAAACATTAATCACAATAAAAAATTTTAAAAAAAATTTAAAAAAAAAAAAAAAAAAAAAAAGGTAAATTGGTAAATAGTAAAAGTAGTAAATTCAAAAATTTATAACTTTTTTGAACTTTTTGAATTTTAAAATTAAAAAAAAAAAAATCAAGAACGTGTGTAAGCAGGAATGTTTATTCATTCAATTATTTGTATTCAAATGTGTTATACTAGACTCTCGAAGAGTCTTCTCTGTGTATAAATAAGAGTGTTGTCCATTATGAATAAATCAGAGTTGTTTTGTGTAAAATCGGATCGTTGCGGCAATGATACCAGGGTTGTGGTCTAGCCTTGGTAGGATGGGATGATGTTTGTCTGGCAATACAATCAACGATATACTTGCTAATCCTTGTTTGATGTGCGTCTGGTACTAACAGCACAACCAACATTGGGTTTGTGTCGATGATGAGGAAAACATCAGCATTAAAGTGGCAAGTATTGCTTTTTGTGTTACTAATACAATATGATTGTCTATCCCTCTTAGACATGTGATTTGTGTCTAAGTGTAGCCAACATTGGTTTAGTGCCAACGACGAGTAAGACACAGTCATTATCATCATTATCCAATATCATCATAGCATGTATGAAGCTATCTTTGAAGCACAAAAAATGACCATCCCTTCATTGTGAAGTTGTGAACTTCTATGAAGATACGATCCTTCATCCTTAAAAAGTGAGAGAAAAACCTTCTCTTTATCTCTCTCTTCCCCCATATTTTCTCCTTTTCCATCTCTTACCCACTGTCAACTTGACCATTGAACAGCATTTCCTATACCTCTTGAGATACAAGTGACTTGATTTTTTTGGTGATGTGGCACACCTTCAA